GGAGATCTTCTCATCTAGTAGGGATAGAATCTCCAGTATGTCCTCATCTTCTTGCTTTTCACTCGTAGCCCGGGCTTGTAGGATATTACTGACATGCCTTGTCAGTTCATGGTCCAGCTGCCCATCCGGACTCCGGGGCTCTGGGAGAGCTGGTGGTGGATTATCTATCAAATCCATGTCCATATCCATGTCCGTGTCTGGTGACACTGAGGTTGGCAGAGTTGTAACCTGTTCATCTGGGGTGCTCTCTACTGGGGTTGTCTGTTTATCTGGCTTATCTGGTTTCAGTCGTTTGCGGATACCCGCCCGTTTGGCAGTGCCATAGATCAGGCTGTTATCCCATTGTTGGGGTGTGCCTAGGGTGCGGTCTCTGGCTGAGAGGCGAGTGACAGGTGCCATCACGAGAGGTCGTTGACTGGGGATTTCTTCTGTAACAAACCTAATTTAATGCCAATGCATGTTTATGGAGTATTGTGGATTGGAACATCCATTTAAGTGGCGCTAGTGTGAGATATCAAATTGCCAATCAAAATTGAAGGGCTCGAATTTCTGATCAATTTTCTACCTTATCATGACCAAGTACAAAGAACTTTCAAGTTTCATATTACATTGAATGTACTTTATCGCTATTAGACAAATAGAGATCAAATGGCTTTATAGAAGATTCATTCAAGTAAAATCTACCTCATTTAATACTGAAACACGTTTAAGTCTCTTATCACAGGCCACCACATTATTCCAGAACGGAGACGCTGTCCCATATTTGTCTCTTTGTAGGCATATTGTCTGCCCACGATGACATTGGATATGTGTTGAATTTATATTATATATTTAGGTATCTTTATCCAATCAGCACTTTCTCTTATAAACATGCATTTCCACTCAATGCAAAACCCAGTACTGACCTGTGTGAGAGCCAAATTGGGCGCCCTTTAATCCAAAGCTCTCACGACTCTCCGCATAAAGTAAGTAATCTGTAAGGAGCGCTTTATGTGGTACTGATATGATGAGCAGATTCCACAAATGCAATCAAAGACTGACTTACCTTGTTCAGGATTTCTTGGTCTTCATCAGTGGGCTTAATGACCTCATTGACGTCGATTTCATCAGATATCTCATCCAGCCATCTGTCAACAGCATCTATATCCCAACGTGACCAAGGCCCTCCTAGGTTTTTCTGAACCTGCATCACATTCAGCTGGTTCCTTATAGCAACCATTGTGCGTGTGAAGTTCCTCTGATGGAGAAGTTGAACAAGAACATGGTGAGGGACACCTTCTGAAGTGTAATACACAGCAACTGCCAATTCTTCTTTTAGCCACTCATATCCGGCCATGTTGATTGCCGATGAATCGAGACTTGAGAATATCCTATGAAACATACGATATATGTCTCCTTCTTATAGATACAATGGATAATTGATATTCAGGATTTAGCCAACCAACACATTGGTCTTCAGCCATGTGATTTGCTGGTACATCACTGAATTCCTCCTTGAGTATCACACCAACCTGTATATGACCCCAATCAAAGACATGCTATTTATAGTTTCGCTTCACTGGCTCCTGCTCATCACTGTTCCATTTTCTGATAGCAGATGATCCACTGTTTGATGCTAAATGAAAGTCAGTGCACAGAACCATCGTGAAAAGAAGAGAAAAAAGAAAAAAAAAAAAAAAGAACAGACTTGGATTATCAGATTGATATCATCTGGTTGTCACAACCTGGCTTCTCTCGTATCGTACCTAGGGTTCTAGTTAGTTGTATTTCGAGACAGGACACTTACCCTAAGTGTCTTCCAAGCACTCATATGCTCAATGACCATCCAGGTCCTCTGTAGAGTGTCACTCGGGGCGGGGTGGGGCGGGCTCTGGCAGGCGATGCCCCGCCCCAGCGGGCTTTGGGGCGGGGTGAGCAATGACCCTTCCTGCCCCAAGGCCCCGGTGGGTTGGGGTGGGTTTTGGCCCAAAACCC